CCGGGGCATTTGGGTTCAAACCCATCGGCAGCTGTCTCCAAGTTGGCTTATCGCGATCTACCTCGATCTCGTGACCGCGGTAACTCCCGACCGCCAAACTCAGGATCCTCTCCTAAACGGTGCTAGGGACCGTATATCCGTCGTTGTTGGGTGGTTTTTCGAGGGTTAACTGCACTAGCGAGCCTCGGCCTCCCCCGGGGAGGGGAGGAGGGGGGGAGGCGGAGATGTACGATTATCAAATTGGGAGATGCAGCGTACCACGATATCCTGGCTTCGGCTGGGCTTGAGTTTAACCCTTTTGCTGTCCTCCGCTCTTTGCATCAGTGGCTTCCTAGATTCGGGAGAGGGCATGTGTGGAGCTGAGATGTGTGTCTACGTGAAAGATTATGTAGAGAGAGCCGTATTGGCATTCGCATTCAGCGCATTGCGCATTTTCCGAATTTTGGCCCCCTTCCAGGGACGATGATTTTTACCCGCTGGCACTGACGTCTATTAATTGGTCAGCCGGTTAGCGTGGACGATGCTAATAATAAAAACACACACAACACGGGGGGTGTTTCTCATGTATGAATATTGCAAGAGAAAACCCTTCGTCCCACAGGTTTTGTAGCGAGCTCGCCATACCGCCACCACACCAGCTGACTCCTTTTTTTTTTCAGGTCTCCAAACTGCTACAGTCGAGGTGTTGGTATGGTGCGGGTACGTGTCAAACCAAAGAACCCGCACTATACCGACCCCGCGCACTTTATCATTTCGGGCGTGTATTGTGCGGGTTCCCGCACTATTCGCGGTTCTCCAAAGCCCCAGAAGTGCGTCTTCCCGCACTATTCGCCCTATAAACTTGATAACGTACGGTAGGGGCTTGATAACTACTGTAGGGGGTATGTGTAGCTATCAACAAGGCGAATGAAGGTGGGACAGCGGTATAGTGCACACAACAGGTGAGGGAATACATAAAATAAGGCAATATTGGATAGATGCCTGCGTTCGTTTGTGGGTGAGACGAGACGACTAAGCATGTACTCACGCTGCGCCGCGGTGGGAAAATATGAAACCACAATTATGCACCGTAAATTAGAGCAGCGGAGAGCATGCTTGATTCATGACATGTAGAGTGTGCTCTGAATGCACACTATGCCTCATCCGTGTTGTTGCTTGATTACATTTGCGGTGATTCCTCCTGAATATTATTCAAAGATTCAGAGGAAAACAGCTACACCAGCCAAGAGTTGGGGAATGCAGTACGTCCGCACACGCGACCGAGGGGCACCTTTGAAAACCAGCTTGCCGAACCACTCCAAACTACACCCTCAACTGCGAAAAGCAAACGGGGGAACACAAATAAATCCAAAACCAAAAAGACCACGCTTCTCAGTTTCTTTTTACAAAACGTCCCGCAACAACAACAGCACGAAAAAATCGGCGAAGGAAACGTGCAATAAATTGCGACCCACATTCCACACGTGAGCTGCATACAGTACATATGTACACCCCAATACAAATTGCTTCCCACCCTACAAACAACAAACAGTCAAATATAGCACACACACGTGTTACATTTTCTATTCTACGAGAGGGGAGGGGAGGGGAGGGGCAGGGAAGGGAAGGGAATTCCGAGCGGTTGACATTAACATTTCCTCTCTGCCGCCCCCCCATCCCATGTTGACCTGGTGCTCTATGTATGGCGGGCATTCGACACAAAACAAAACAAAGAAACAACACGGCACAAAAGTGTGCGGCAAAACGGCTCATCACTCTGCACCACCAAAATACGCTGACATCAGTCTGGCGCGATCGCCTTGATGCATGCGCTTCAATCATCAACATCCTTGCCCTCTTGAGTAAGTGGCTGGCCTCGCTCAAACCGCAACCTGCCGCGTATTTTTCGAGGGGCACGAAGTGCTGGAAATTTCCGCGTAAGACGGTGAGTCATCGCGGCCGCGTCCCAAGCTTTCGCTTCGCCATCCTCTCCCCCCTCCCCCTCGCTGTCCGAAGACTCGCATGCGGGACACTTGCGATGGTTTTCGTTGCCGTCTTCCTCGTCTACATCCCCGCAAATGCCGTGTCGTCTCCCGCCGATTTTTCCACGGCATTCATGACCGTGTGGGGCTACTGGTGTTTGGTCCTGCAGCAGGCAGAGTTCGCCTGCTTCACATGGCATCGTGTGCGTCTCTCTTGTTCTCGTCGACTGGCTGTAGGGGTATGGTATACTGCGCTACTGTTATTCGGTCGGGGTAGGGTGTGTGGCGTATTTGTGTCGAGAATGTGCGTGTGTTTGGCCGCTCTCAGGGGAGGGTGACGTCAGGACCCGCACTATAGAGGGTCTAACGGAGGCCAAACCCGCATTATTGAGAGGTTCAAGTCGTGTCAAGCAAAAACACCCGCACTAAACCGACCCACCCGCACTATACAAGCTGCACTATCTATACCGGCACCTCGACTGTACTAGGTATTTAACTAATTGGGAGTCGTATGAGACGGTTGTCTCGAGGTTTGCGTGTGAGCAAGTTCCCTTAGGGATGGATGGTGTGGATACACACCGGTTCAAGCTCTGGTGGAGAGGCTGACGAGTACGGATAGTTGAGTTGTGTGAGTGTGTCAGGTGGGGAGCAACCTTGTGTTGAAGAAGGGTTTAGCATCCAACCTGCACTGACCCTATATGTGGTAACACCCCGAAGGTAGATCTCCGACAGGTCATCTAACGTCACAATCTACGACAGTCTGAGGTGGCATTCGCACTCGTGTTATTAACAAAAAAAAAACGGACACACGCACAGGGATCCTGTTACTTACTGCTGTAATACACACAGCAAACACACACCGACACACACGCACCTGTACTACCAGCTCCCTCACGCACCCACCCAACGAAATCAAATTTATCAGGGCTGTCCTCGTGTAGTTCTCCGCGGTAATATTACCGCAGTAAAACCACGGTAATTCCCGTTTCCTGTGATCCCGTGAAAAATGGGAATTACCGTTCCCATCCAAATCGTTTGCGACATGAAAAACCGTACGCTGACTGCGAGTTTCCGAGGCCTATTTTCCGGTAATTTTGATGGGAGAATAAGCGAAATTGCTCCAATTGTCTTGCCTCCGGCGGCGCCTACAGCGGGGCCCCCTCACCAGCCGAGGAGGGCCGCTTGGGCTCGCACAGCGAGCTTCCGTGCCTTCGCGCGTCAGCGCACTGTGCTCGCCTGCTCGCTGCGGTCGCCACTTACGGCTCGCTTCGCTCGCTACCATCTTCTCTCTTTGCTCGCCAATATCGATATCGATATCGACATCGAACACTTCACGGGCGATATCGTTTCGAACCTATTCCTTAATCGATATGCAACACTAATTTAATCGGATCCCGTTTTGGGTGAACCGCAACCATAGTTTCGGGACCACGGTCTACTCGCATGCACGGCGCGTGCCCACCTACCCCCATCCACACGAACTCCATCCACCGCCGAGCACAGAGGAGAGAGAGAGCACAAAAGCCAACCCAAAGGGAGGGTGACTGCGCATCGTTGTTGCACGTGACAGGCGCCGAAGAGAACGTGTGTGGGGTGTGTTGGTCTGTGGGACAATCTCCCGTGGGTTGTCGAACCTCAAATGCTCAGACGAATTGGTGACTTACCGTCGGACGAGGCTCGATTCAAAGTCTCACACGCATAGACATCGTGTCAGTACCGCACGGAGGCCATGAACGCGTTTGGTGGTGCTTATCGGGAGCGATAGCTCTCCATGTGGTATGGCCACGTCACAACAGCACGTCACAACAGCAATCTGGCAGTCGGCAAGCGGAGGACCTCTCGGGTTGTTCGCAGTGGGCGGCAGAGACCCGTTTCCATTTGGCAGATCTGCCGTTAAGACACACCGGCCATTTCTGTCCGGATTTGGGTAGATCGGACTCTTCTATTCTTTAACTGAAATGTGATTTCGAGATCTGATTCCTTCGTTAAGACCTACCCAAACCCCCCAACCCCACCCCGCAACCCCTTCTAAAACCAAGATAAATATCCTCGCGAGGGCTACTTGGAACTGCCCCTGTGCTGCAGGAAAGTCGGGAGGGCGAAATAAGAAATTACGATGGTACCTCTCGTGTGTGTGTGTATGTGTGTGTGTTTTTTTTTTCTGGCAGAAGGCCGCGCGAGATGCCGTAGGCGGCCTCCATGTACAGAAGTAGAGGCAGATGTGCGAAAAGTTGTACTTCTAATCTCCATGGACTAAAATATGTTGCCCAACAACGTTGTTGCACGGCATCACTATTTTTGGTTGCCACTTCCATGGTGATAGTGAAGAATAGGAAATCCCCACCGCGGTTGGCGGCCTCCATGTACAGCAATAAATGTGCACACAACATTGTGTCCATACTTCCGATGGACTAGTCTACAGTCCTAAAATACNGCATGAAGGGTGCGCTGCATCCTGCTAAGGGTGTTCGGCATCTTGTGCTTACTTTCTTGCATACGGATGACAGCTGCGTATGACTTAATTCATTTTCTGGTGCTTTCACTTCCTGACTTGAGGAGACGGGAACGGTTTTTTATTCAAGACAACAAGTGCTGCAACACCAACGTGCAGGAAATCGCAGAGCGTTAGGATTCTCCGTGATATTTTTTCACCACAGTACAGCACTGACGTTGAAATGCACAGAAATCCGCACCGCGGTGCGTTTCTACACCCCGTCAACATCCCTGGAGTTTTCGAGTACACATAATATTGCCGTTGTCCACTTGCTCCTTCCCAGAAGTGGATAAGTTTAGGAGGTCCCCCAGTTTTATTTTCAAGTCGGATCTTCTCTCACGAAAGTATGGATGGGATCAAGCCACAGCAGTGGCATCGACTCCCACGGCGTTTGTCTACACCTTTCTGCCTTGCTTCGAGGCCCTCCGTTTTCACACGCTCCCAGGAGGGGCGTCGCGAGATATCCTCAGGAGCTGGATATGTATGTGGTTTTTGGCTGTTGATTTCCGGGTTTTGGTCCGAGAATCTCCGCGAAATTCCACCAAATTTGTAGTGCAGGTTATATTCATACCTGTGTACTAAGGTGCGTTTGCGTTTTTTGTCCAGCTGATAGCATTGTCGTCTTATCGTCGGTCAGCCGGCTAGCGCTGTCGATGCTAATTCCAAAAGACCCGAGCACACACATGCAACAGTATTGTAGTTGTTGTTGTTGTTGTTGTCTTCACGTTAAACCGTATGTCAGTTGCTAAATGCCAAAATCTAGCAAAGACTCTCAGCCCGTGGTCACGAAAGTGCTAGAGCCATCTGAGGATCTAAAGAACACGCACACATATAACGAGAAAAAAGTATCCAAGAGCCCGAAGAGGTACACCAAAAAATACCTGCAGCACCGTATGCGTGCCCAAAAACTGAACTGCACGTCCGTCCCACCGTTCGACTACAGTAGCATCACCCCCTCCCTGTCCCACTCTATACCAAAACGGAAGATTGCCGACTACAGCATACTGCTGTCTGAAGTGCTGTCTGTACAAAAACACCATGGTAGGCATGGAACAAGCA